TACGGACTTCGAGAGCAAAGTCTATTTCAAGTGGGGAAGAGTTGTAACACTCCAAATCAAGTATGACCTTGCATCCCTTGAAGTATTTCAAATATATCATAAGAAGCCCTTAAGTACGTTGGGCGTAATTATGAGTACGCTTAGTGTACTTGGCAAGACGGATCACCGAGGGGCAGCACATACGCTGGGCGTACGTGCCAGATGTCCAAACCCTAATTTTCGGACTTGAGACCTATATAAACACCCTTAACTCATTTGAGCCTCACCCTAAACAACCTCCTTCACCATCAAACGTCTCTGAAAACCCTAATTCCAACTGTGAGTTCATTTTGAGCTTTAAGTGTGCATTTATGGTCCTTTTGGTGTTCATTCAAGAAGGAGAAGTTGTCAAAGAAGCTTGGAGTGTCATTTGGCTTCAAGAATATGCATATAGTCGACCTTGAGGAGCTTCTGGAGGTATAAGTCTTGGATCTTTCAGTCTTAATCACTAGATCTAGCTAGGGTTTTCTAGTTTCGTCCCCTTTGTTGATTTTGGACCTTCTCTTGTGAGTTGAGCAATTCCAGAGGATGGAACTGTCAGATTTGAGGTCCTTTGGTCTGTTTACAACATAAAAATGGAGTCTTGGTGGGTATTTTGACCTCATGCATGGGTTAAGAACCTTAGAAAGGTCTTAATGGGGGTGTTTGGGGTATATGAGACATGCAAATGTATAAAGTTGCCAACTTTATGCCCTAGGTCGTCTTGATAAGCTTAGATTTGACTTTTGGACATAAGGGAATCGAGTATTAAGAACTTAATGGAAAAAGTGCATAATCTGTTAGTACGTTGGGCGTAACCTAGCGTAGGCTACGTGTAAGTCCCAGAGACCCAGTACGTTGCGCGTACCAGGGTGATACGCTAAGCGTATGCACCACAGATGGGCTTGGATATGTTTGGGCCTTTTAGCTGTTGGGCCTCATTTAGTTATTGGACCTTGTTGCATTTTGGGTATAGTGGGCCATTTTATCTATTTTGGGACATTGATGTTATGGTAGGGCCTTATTGGGCCAAGAGGCCCATTAATGATTTTTCGTCATGGAGTTTGGGCCCATTAACAAAGAAAGGATATTTGGGCCTTCATGGAAGGACTTGGGGTTTCGGTTTCCCTTTGATTATGTGATGTCCTAACATGGGTTAATATTATTATTAAGCACGACAGGTTACAGACAGTTAGGAGAATAGTTTCAGATTCTTTGGACAAAGGTGAGTCTTCTCATCATATCCATGGGTCTAAGGCACCAAGGCTAGCCCATTATGTGATTATGGTATATGTGTTAGTCATTTATGTGATTTGATATGCTATGTGATTATGTGTTATTGCGTTGAAGACCCCAGGGGGAGCCTGTGGCAGTTAGATGTAAGACCATGTGGGGTAACCCATGACATTCCTAGGTAAATACCATGTGGGGTAGCCCATGGCACGTTGGATGTAAGACCATGTGAGGTAGCCCATGACATTCCCAGGTAAAGACCAATCGGGGTAACCTATGTCATGAAGGTGTAAGACCCTGGCGGGAGCCCATGGCATCCTTATAAGTTTAAGTATGCATGGCTTATGTGTTATAAGTAGCTTTTATAGCTAACAAGATATGTGATATGTGTATTGTGTGTGTGGTATGCTCTGGGAAACTCGCTAAGCATTTAGCTTACAGGTTGTGGATTTGTTTCAGGAACTTCAGATCCCAAGGGCAAACGCAAGGCGTGATGATGCGACGTGCACTCTTTCCCAGGCATTTTATGGACACTCTGATGTTTGGAATAAAAGTTGTATTTGACATGTGTTTTGAAAACAATTATGATTGGATTTCTTAAAATATGGAAATGTATTTGACTATTCAAAAATGAAAATTTTCTTTGAAAAATTGGGTCATTACAGAACATGTATGATTTAATTGAATATTTCATAAGTTACCCATTGTTGTTAATTAAAATTTTCCCGCAATAATCGTTATTACACCAACGTAAAGACCTCATCGACTGAGATTATGTACAGATGAAAGTGTCAATCCTTGTGCTAAACAATGATTGGAGATACGAAACTGAACAAAGAGCATGCAAGTGTTACACTACACTTTGATCCATGAATCACACAGGAGATTACAGAAAAGATTGTGTGAACCTAATAATGATTACAGACTTTACACTAACAACAAGAGAGTTATGTGAAAAAAAGATGTCGGTCTCTCGACTTCCAATTCGGAGACTCTGTAACTTTAAACACCTTTTGTTTTATATGAATAATTTGGTTTAGAGAACGAGTCAAGTTAAACATGAACTTATTGGTATTGGAACCGGAACTGCTTACACCAGTTCCTAGAAATTTGGAACTGCTTACCGAGTCCTCAACTAAAACTCCGCGTCTCACCCCGCTTCTACTCGGCGAGTCAGTCCTTCGACTCGCCGAGTCCAAGGCCAAAATTGCAAATCAAATAGAGGATTAAATACAAGAATACATACCGAGAATCAGGTGCTACAAAGAGAGAGAGAGAGAGAGAGAGGGAGAGAGCTAGGTTCAAATGTTTCTAGCAACTATTTTTCTTAAATGCACCAAACACAATTTGACAAATAATTAAATAATTAATTAAATCAAAAAGGGTATTTTCTGGTTTTCTGCATTTGCAATTAAGGAAACAAATAAATATATGTTGACCAAATATATCTTATTTATAACCATCGCAGCTACTCGATTCTATTCCATGCATGTATGATCTGTACTCAAAAACCCTAGGCGAGTGCTCCGATCATGAATTTGTTGATATCGCTAGGTCGCGACTGGTGAAGATCGAAGAAAGCTTGGCGAATCAATTTGAAGAGGTTGCTTTGTCTGATAAATCTTCCTAAAGCCTTTGGAAAGCTTCATATGTTAGTTTCTCTTATGATATCCTCGAATCAACTTTAGGTTTGTCTAATAATTTCATCACCATATCATATTTTTTACATTTAATTGATTTATGTACTTCAATCATCTACAAAAAGAATTTTAACCATTCATAGTTTTAATCTTTAAAAATAAATGTAAGTTTTATTCTTTACGAATTAATGTAATTAGTGATTCTCAAAAAATAAAATCCGTATTCTTTAGAAAATGTTATTCTTGATAATATGTTGTATAATTCTTTAAGCATGTTAATTATAAAAACTATATTGAATGAACCATATTCTGCAATAATAAAATCGAAAATATATTTACTAGTTTATGTTTGACTGTCTGATATTCTGACAGAACAAAATCGGTTAGTATTAGAAATTATAAAAGAATTAAATTTGAATTAATTTAAAAAATTCAGATTTAAAAAAGGATATTAATAATCTCTTAAAATATGAAAATTTCATTTTTTTTAATATAACTTAATTAATGAAAACACCATTTTGCAGAAATTTGTTTGATTATATGGTACATGTTAAACTATTGTAATACTATTGACCGTCGGATGATGATTATTGATTTTATTTATCCATTGGTTCAGAATTATGCTTACGGGCATAGAATAAATGTAAAAAATAAAATAACCTAACCGTGTGTATATATATATATATATATATATATATATATATATATATATATATATATATATATATGGCTTAGGGAATATCTGACTGCTATGTACTTAATATTAGATATAAAAGCATTAAAAACTAACCATGGTTGTCAAAATCGCGATCCTGATCGTAGGATCGTACGATCCTACGATCCTATGTATGAAAAACGATCCGGATCGTAAAAGGATCGTATTTTGGGTAGGATCGCAGGTAGGATCGTAAAATCGTAGGTAGGATCGTAGGATCGAGATCCGATTCGATCCTACCTTCCTTTAAAAAAAAATTTCAAATGAAATTTTTTTACCATTTTATGTCTTTTACCCTTCACCAATCTACCATTTATCATTTTTATTGTGACTTATGACTAATATTTTAAAGTTTTTATAGCTTTTGAACGAAAAATTAAATGTTTGAAATATTTTTTATGATTAATATTATAAATTAGAATTATATTCTATTTTGTGGAATCTTAGGATCTCGATCCCGATCTTACGATTCTGATTTTGCAAACCCAAAAACGATCATAGGTAGGATCCCGATCTTGACAACCTTGGTTTTAACAAAATGCAATCAAATCTCTCTAGCATCTTTTTTGTATTCTCTATTAGACTAGATGATAGGCTTTGTACATATTTTTATGGAGTTTTAAATATTTAATGTTGCACCACAAACCATGTATTAAAATACATTATCAACTACCTATAAATCTTCATATTCAAATTTAATGTAGAAGCTGTAGTGAAAGATTGAAATTGTTCATTAAAAACCCAATAAGCTTCTTCCCATAACACATTAAAAAGAACAATGCAAGTATATATATATGGTAGACGGTCAAAGAAAGTTATGAATCCTACTATATATATAATATAAACAACACATTCGATATACATAGATGTTAGAGATAAATTATGAAATCATAAATAATATAAGCTCAAAATCAATAGAAAGATGCTAACGATGAAAAAAATTGTTTTTTTTAATCAAAACGAAATCAATTTTGATGGTTCTATACCTAATATTACATACATGACAGCCACGTATTCATTTTTTCCCATATATATATATATATATATATATATATATATATATATATATATATATATATATATATAAAGAGGGAATACAACCAAAAGTACATACAATCTTATAGGATTTGAAGGGCACACCCAAGGTCAATAGAAAATCAAGCAAATACATTAGACTAAATCAACCGTTCACTCTCTGCAATCTCACACAAACTCATGTATTCTATTTATACAAAAAAATAATACACAATGAATACATCACACTTATACACATATGAATCAATGAATGTATTGTACTCTCAAAATCCTTTCAAAATTTTCCTACTACCACAAATTCATCAAAAAGTCTTCCAAAATCTGAGTGATGATCACATATTGCAGAAATTAATCATTCTCACCTTATTCCCACAAAAACTCTCGACCCCTCTCTCTCTCTCTCTCTCTCTCTCTCTCTTTTTTTTTTTTTTTTCACATTGGCTGTTCAGAAACACACCGAGGTGTGTTGATTCCCAGTGAAAACAAGGAGGCGACAGCCTCTCTTCTACCCCCTTTCCTTTCGATTGGAGCAACCAATACACCCCCTCTTGTTCGATGGCTACAACGTTGCCCTCCTTCTTTCCCCCCTGTTCACCACCGGCCAAAAGAAGAGGCTGCCGGCCGCCATGATACTCCTCCTCCTCCTCCTCATACTACTTCTGTCGAGTGCCAATCCCACAAACACCCCTGTGAACACAAGAAACAACCCAAACATCCTTTCTCTATATCATTTTTATGTGAAAAGCAAACCCAAACATCCAATTTCCAATGATTTCTATCAAAAAAAAAAAAAAAAAAAAAAAAAAAAAAGAAGAAGAAGAAGAAAAAATAGAAAGAAGATCAGGGGAGCTGCCGGAGCAGCCCCCGTCCACGTACCTTTCAACCAGCGAGAGCAAAACGACCGAAGTGGCTGTTTCCCCGGAACAAAAATCGGAGACTGGAAGCCTCCTTTTGATTCCCCACCTTCGCACCTTCCTTCCAAGACAGAAGAAGTGCAGGAGCTGCTTAAGTAGCCCTTGCTGCTTTCGTTACTCCCCCTCTACAAACCAATAAGGAACCGGAGGTGCTCTTCTTCTCAACGGGTCTTCCACCACCGAGCCTTCCCTGTCACTGCTTCGTTCGTGATTTGCCTTCTCGACCAGAGGAAACCAAGGACCGAAGGTCCCTTTTCCCGTCGCCGGGAACAAAAGCTGCCCCCGTTATATTTCCTTCTCGGTAGATGAATCATCGGAGGCGCTTGTGTGCTTCGTTCGTGTAACTGTTCGTTTTCATTCATGTTCCATTTCGTTGGATTTATCAGACGAGGGCACAAAAGCGCTAATTTTTTTTTTTTTTTTTTTTTTTTTTAAATAATCCAATTGGCCGATTCATCCCCTACAAATATTGAGTAATGCCAAGACAACCCTTATTTGTAAAGATTGATCAAATATGGTCGCTTTTGATTAATTAATTTACTAAGTAAACCTCCTTTTGCTGAGTTATTTCCAAAACAGCTCCTTTTGTGAAATACATAACAAATTAGCCCCTCTTTGTATTAAAATGACCAAACAACTCTCGTTTGTAATATTTGATAAAAACCAATCCCTGCATAAATTATAAAAGACCAAAATTGTTTTTGTTTGATAAATCATTTCCAAAACAAACCTGGAACTGTTTTAAAGTCCAAGGAAGGTGACTTGGCAATTATTCACGAGAAGTTTCACCAAAACGTCGGGATCGAGATCATGCTATGAAAGTTAGTTTCTATGGCCACTCTTTTATTTTTTTAATATTTATGAGAGAATGTATGCGTGTCTAATTAAGTTTCGATGATTTACATTAGTTATATGTTAAAATAGCATCATATTTTGATATTGGTCAAACGCTTATGAAATAACACATCGAAAATGTATAGATCTTCAATAAATCACATAAATTATAGTAGAATGCTATAAATGACATAATTACCCCTCGTTGTAATATATTACTTAATGATATCAAAAATCACTAGATTATATGTAAATTGCTACAATAACACAAGTTGGTATTGTAATTCACGAAAATGACGAGTTCACATGTATAATTTAAATTACCGACTGGAAGCATGAAACGATATATAAATGACCAAAAAATATATTTAATTATAAAATGAAAGTACATTGTCATAAATTGATGGAAAGACTAATATTATCAAAATGTATAATTAATAGGTGAAATTATTCAAATTTAACATTTAACATATAAGGCCGTGTAAAAATGAAAGGAAAATGTATTAATATATTTTTATATTAATTATAAATATACAACTCAATTTATTAAGTTATGAATTTTTATTGCAATAAATAACATGACCGACTTCATGACTTAATAGTCGTTATTTGCGAAATATTGTATAGCATTAACCATGTAAATTATAAATATTATAGGAATTGTTGGTTTCACATTGGTTGACACCTGGAAAATATTATCAAAACAGTCGTTATGTTGTCCAAATTTCATCATGACACATAATAAAACTTGGAAATGTATTAAGTCTCATGAACCTCAAATACCATAAGAGTTCAATCCATAATTAATCAAAAACATTAAAGAATTATAGGTGTCTGATATATACTTATAATGGAGAGTTTAAGATTAGGATGCCTAGACTCATTTTTAGGATCTATCACACCCACATGACGTTCTATACGAGCTACATTTGTTCTAATAGCTTTTTTTTAGGATCATTTTCTCAGCTGCATGGGCTATGTTTATATAATACTAAGACTGTACATCTTAGCGGAAAGTCCTCTATATCATATCGTTAATCGTATGGAACAAGGAACACTAGGTATAAGTTCAGTATTGGCGACTTATATGGGTTAACATCCCGCCACCGGTTGCTAGCTACAACCCTCGGCTGACGAGTCGAAACGAGCGTTGGCGTTTCCTAAACGATAAATTCCACGACGGTAAATAATCATGGGTGTGGACATTCAACACTAAAACTTGCAAGTGTTGGTGCAGAGGCGTTCGTCGCAGTTCGGTTATAACGTCATTATAGATCATGGGATCGCCTTGTCACCGTATAGAATTGATATTAGGTTGTACGGTGTTTTTGTTCGGTGATGCTAGTTGAAAGAGACTGTACGTAGTAAGATAGCTTGTGACTCAAAGTGATAAGTGTCAATACCATAAATTAAGTTGTATAACACTTAATATCACGACACGACTGATTAATGTCAATAACTTATAATTAATAAGTTATTTATACAAACCTTATTTTTTATACTAAAACATAATATTTATGTGCGAGGAGTTTGCTACACTGGCTAAGTGTCGGTTCCCAAATTAAGTAAGATAATACTTAATAAATACTATGACGCGAATTTACAAAGTTTATAAATTTGAAACTTAAGAGTTTTACATATAAACTATACGAATGCTTATACAAAGTTTCAAGAGTAAATTCATATATATTTTTCTTTTCACAAAGAGTGATATGACTTTCTTTTATATAAATGGGTATTTAAAATCTTTATATAAAAAGCATTTTTGGTCATGAGAATCATAAAGATTTGTTTTAAGTATATATTCAACAAATGGTTATATTTTGATTTGAGCAAACGATATATTTTTAAATGAGTCCAAATAAACTTTTAAAACACATTTATTTTTATACTTTTGATAAAAAAAAATATGTATTTATACAAGCTATTCAACCAGAGAAATTTTATAAAACACTTTTGGAATATAAAATTACTTCATGTCAAAACCTGTAAAACTCACCAACAATTTGTGTTGACGTATTTTAAATGCATTTATTCTCAGGTTATTTAGCAGGTCGGAATTGTTCACTTAGAAGACTCTCTATATTTTATTATACCTTTTTAAACGCCGAATTGTTAGGCGTGTGTCGTGATTTAGCAATAGTCGTTGTCAATGTAATTTCTATTTCGGTTATAATAGATGATTATATTTGTATTGTTCAATGTATGTTCAATAAATGTGATTACTTATTTTGTTACCAACATCGGCGTTTTCGGCTGTGGCGGAGGGTGTACAGATTGGTATCAGAGCTATTGGCTATTTTGAACTAGTACTTCCTTAGGAAAGTGTGACTATAGCGTAGGGCTTACTCTCTTAGGGTCGGTATATTCCTTAACCTACAAATATAAGGTTATACATATATACATATATAAACTCGAGCCCTTTATTTTTAATACAATGCAAGGTTTTAGGTCAAACACCTTAGCTAAGTTGGTTGTACATGGGCCTAACAACAACTAGACATAAAGTTATCACATATGTTTAATTATGGTTAGACTGATGTAAAATCAAGCTTGAATTTGGTTGTTGGTTGATTAAAATGCTTGGAATCCATAATATTTAAAGAAAATCACAGTTCAAAACGCTTAAGAAATCCCAAAATTTTAGTGAACGCTTATGAATACTTGGCAATTATTTACCTCAAATACTCATGAAACTATAAGTTTCATTGACATAAATTATGTTCGAAGTTTATCTAGGAATGCTAATTTCTCAACTATGATATTCTACAAATGCTTCTATTAGATGTCTCATGAATACCATGTCAAAATATGTACATTCGTGAATCTTTTCGAATTAAGATTAGGTATTTAATCAATTTGTTTCTTTCTACTGTTAACCGTCCAACTTATGTTGAACCATCCAATTCCAAAAGAAGGCCACCTACACCTTTAAGGACACCGACTTTACCTGGTAGAACTACTATACATAAATTATAAGCTTTGACTCCGCTTATGCCACAACTTGAGAATAACTAAAGAAGATGCTCATGGAATTGAGATACATAAATTAGAATAAGCATTGGTTAAAGAAAAGTTTGTTATGAAGATGATGAAACTACCTAAGATTGAAGAACCAAGAGGTGACAACTCGATTCAGAGCAACCGTGATCGGAAAAAGGAACGAAATCTAGGAAACATCAGCAGTATTTGGTGTATTTCTTAATAAACAGTCATATGCTGAAGTACTATTAATTAGGATATGCAAAGAAATCCTTGAGAACCCTTAACATAAACCTAGTATGAGTCATGAAATTAGTAGTTTAAAGAAAACATGTAGAGTAGAGACAGCTAGTGAGCTATCATAAATCTACATGCAAAATTTTAATGAATTTTATTCTAACATCTACGAAATCATGTTTGTCACGTCAATCTCATGTGTATGTGTAACGCCTGTAGATCCATAATAGTTAATTTAGAGATAATAGGGGTCGAAAATGAATTTTCGACAAAAGACTATTTGGAATAAATAATCATAACCAAGTTGTAGAGTATGTCTCAAGGGTTCCGTACATATAAAGAATGCTGAAATCCGAGTTATAACGAAGAAGTAATGACCCGTCGAAGTTTCGTGACGAAACAGGCACGACACCGGGAATCGTAAATAGTGAATTTACGATAGAGCGATTTTTAGCCTTAGCGATCTAAACAAAATTCGTAGAATACATTAAAATGAGAGCTTACATAAAAAGAATACCCAAAATCTGACTTCGTATAAGGAAGTTATGATTTTTCGATGTTTCGGCTTAGCAGTGCACAACCCGAAGTTTAAATATTTTAGCCGACATAAACGCCAATCGAGGATCTCGTTAATAGTAGCGTAACAATAAAAAGTCAGAAGAAAATAGATGTTGGATGAAGAAGTTATGACTTTTTAACGGACCAATCATTTCCCAGCATGTTAATAATATAACTTTTAAAATAAAGTTAAAATTAGCCGACAGAGTCTAAACGAAAGTTGTAGAGTACGTTTCCGCCTATGCGTGGATATATAGAACGTCGAAAATGGAGCTCGTACAAGGAAGATACGAGTTTTAGAAGTTAAGGGGGCAATTTGTGAAGCTGATGCATGGATTCATGACGTGGCCTAAGTCCCAGCCGTTCGATGAGCTTGCTCCGGATTGTGACACGCCACCCCTCGCATTACGCCCATCGTACGAGATCTCGTATGCACAACGTACATATGGTCTGCTTGTCCCAGAAGCGAACATATCGCACCACCGAGCCTTCACCACCTGACTTCCCTATCCGATGTTACACCCCACGTAACCTGCTAAACGCCCAACTTAAGTACGAAGTTTGCCGTATAAAAGGGTGCGAGATGTTCCGAGGAAAATGCACCAAATCTATTCTCTCTCTAGTTTCTTTCTCTCTCTAGACTATCCTTACCCCCTAAACCCTAGGTAATACCTTAGCTCCCGAAGGAAGCCCCGAGGCTCCCGGAGTCCCAAGAAAAAAGGTCTTTCGGTTCAGAAACGCTACTTCAAGC